AGATAGATAGATAGATAGATAGATAGATAGATAGATAGATAGATAGATAGATAGATAGATAGATAGATATTATGCACTTCAATTCATGGAATTAATTCATGGTGAAATTTGTCAGGTGTTTTAAAAATAAGAACATATTCTTGCAGTTGGGACTTTGTCTAAGTTTAAACATACAAACTTTCACTTAAAAACCATGCCCATTGGAATTAGCCTAGAAGATAAGTAATAAATGGTATCCAGAATATCATGAAAATGAGAGAGAGGAACAGCTCACCATTTTCTGCACAAAAATGAAATCTTTGCCATATGTTGCCAGGGCTTTACTGAACAATTTTCTTTCAAAGGGTGTCCACTGATCGGAACCTGAAGTAAATGAACAGGTGAGAACCATTGTATATTTTTTTACTGTCAAATTAGTGACTTTCTTCATCAGTGCTCAGCCAACAGCACCTGTCCTGATAAAAGCTCCCATGGGGAATTGGCAGGCTCTCTATTTTAGTACTTACCGGCATAATGATAATTGGCTAGAGGGTGTGATTTTGCTCTTTTTGGTTTCAAAAGAAGAAGCATCTCCAGAGCAGCCTGCAACAGTAACAGATACAAAGCAAACCAGGATTGCATGTGATTTGTAATTATTAGAATTGCACTCAATCTTTTAATAATTAACTTTTAATACATTTCCTATTTTCCTATTTCCTTTGCCTATGATATGCTACATTTTAAAACTGCAGAACTCTTGCTGGACTTGATTATGCAGTGACTTATTGACCTAGGTTGCTTCTTGCTTAAGTTTGCTGTCCTGTGAACAGTTGGAATGGAATGGAACTGGAATTTATTTCTGAGTGCACGTAAAATACAAGATATTTTATTACCGGTAGTTACGAAACATTTGCAACCATAGGCTTCTTTTTTAAAAACAAAAACTGGATATGGGTTTTTAAAATAAAGCACCATATTAAAAAGTTTTCAGAAGTTGCACTAAAGAAAGAAAAATCTCATTAATGGCAAGTGAGACTATTTCAGAATTACTTATTCAAACATTTTCTTGCTGTCCAATTACTTCATGAAATCTGTTACTATTTTTAACATATTCTATAACCTACCATAATATTTCCTTTAGCTTCAAAGAGAGAATGCAAACCATATTCTATGTTGGTTCCTCCACCAGTTAATATGCTCGAGCAGCACATATTTAAGAGATTGGTCACTGTAATAAGAAAACAAAATTAATTTTCTCAAACAATTCAGCGGCTGAATGCAGAAACATAACAAGAATGCATAAAGCCAGTGTAAAGACACTAATTCTAACAAGTATGAGTTCCTATTTTAGGACAGCTGGGGCACAATAGGAGGCAGTTTATTTTAATTACTTGCTGAGATTTCTCCTCCTCCAGATGTGATTGTTTTTCTATTCTTTTGAAGCTTTCTCTGTGGTGGTTTTTAGCTTGCTTTATTGTTTTTTTTTTGGAGGGGTGAAGGACGCTTTTCTATTAAACATCATCCTGAAGTCTACAGGTTGTTTATGCTTTGCAATCTGAAAATGGGGAAGGGTTCCTTTTGGATGTTGCCCCCTGGATTTAACAGAAGCATGGAAAGCCAAAACATTCACACATTCCACTTAATCACCTCAAATGCAGAAATACACATCCTTGGAACAGCATTAAAAAGAGTAGATGAACATAGGTGGAAAATATTACTTTTTTAAAATAAAACAAAAACAGGCAATGGTGAAATAGATCAAGTATCAAAGTAGCAGAAGATCAAACAGGGTTTAAAAGATGTTATAAGTTACTTGTTTGCGCCAGTGCTTCCCAATTTGTGGCAAAGGTAAATTAACTAAAGGTACATCTGTTGGAAAGACATCCAGTTGGAAAAAGAATGGGGGGATAGGGAAGCTAGTTTCAACTGTAGAAGGTGGGCAGAATGGTTCAGAACTGTTCCAAAAGATAGGACAGAAAATCCCAAAAGATTATAAGGAAGCAGATTTTGGCAAGAATCAGAAAATATTTCACAATGGTTAGAACAGTCAGGACTGCCTCCTATGGGCCATTTTCAGACTGGACAGCATGAGCATTTGGAGTTTTAGATTGATGGAAATATATGAAACAACCACCTATCTTGAGTTGGTCACTGGGACCAGAGGTTTAGTCTTCCAAGTTTTCAAATTTGTGCTGGATACGAAACACATTGCCGAGTGAGATTATGGAGCCTCCTTTGTTGGAGATGTGTAAACAGAAGATGAATGGCCACCTGTCAGGGATCTTATGATATTGGATTTCTGCATTGAGGACTGATGATTCTCAGCTCCCTTCTTATATAGTATGATTTTAAGATTAAGTACCCATTTAAGAAAGCAATTAATTGTCACTCTACAAATCAGCCAAATCGAATGATAAACAAAGAAAGCATACGTTGTAGAAATGCACAGTTGGTGAAGTAGATTTGGGTATGAAGGCAAGAGGATACGAGAGAAATATTCCTAAACCAGAAGGGCTAAAATAAAACTTGGAAGCTTTCTGAAGCATTTATGATAATTTTAAAGCAAGGATTCAGACCTCACAACTAAAAAAGCCATACATTTTATGTGTTGCTGTATAATTACATTTACGGAAGAAATTTCTTTTTTCTTTTTAAAACTCTTTTCTTGTTTATTCCTATGGCATTTTTCTGATGAAAATGTACACAACAGCATGTGTGAAAATGAATGTTAACTCCCACCACACAATATTGCAAAGGATGTAGAGGTAATCACTATTCTTAGTGAATAAAGTCTTTTGAAGATAAATAATTTAGGGAATATAAGGATAGCCCAATGAAGAATTTACATAAGCAATGTAGGGTTCAATGTTTAATGGAAGTGTTTATATTATATTATATGTCAAGTACAAGTATCCAATGCTCTTTTATGTTTGAGAAAGATCTGATGGGGTTTTTCTTCTAAAGAAAATGGATTAACAAACATTTTTTCCATGGTTCTCTTTCCTCCTCTGGTCTGACATCAACCTCCAGAAATTATGAGCGTAGGAGGAGATCAGAGTAAACTGTTATTTTCTCCCATTCTTTAACAGTAGAATCTACTGAACATAGACTTGATTCAACTCTGTTTTTGCAGTGAAGTACTAAGAACATCTAAATTTTTAAAGCTAAGAGAGAGCAATTCTGAAAACACTCACTTTTTTATTTCAAACTATGAGTTTGGATTAATCCCTATTAACTACCCAAAGTGACCTTGGTGAATAGGCAGCACTATACAAAAAACATAACAAAGTAAAAAGTCACTCTTTTAGGTAGTATAAAAACATAGTACCTCTTTGTTCAAAAGTTTTGTCCTCCAGTTCTGGCCATGGTTTCCAAACTAAAGTTGCCTTGTGATTCTCCTTCTCCACCAATGCTATATCTTTAAGTTCAGGGATATCAGCCTGAAATCTTGAGCCAATGTTGATACACCTCGAAGAAATAACAATATTTAAAGCATTAAAAATGTAAGTCTACTGCAGAGCCTTCCTAAATCCTCCTCAAAGGAGCCTAAAGAGAAGAACTTAGGAAGAAAATAATGGCAGGAAGAAATATCACTTGTATAGCAAAAAAAAATTTTTTTAAACAGAAGTGGCAAAGATAAAACTAATGAAGCAGAAATTTCACATAAAGTGGATTGTTTCCTTACAGAATCAAGATGAATAGATGACACACTGTGTTCTTCACCAAAATCATCCAAAAAGAATCTGGAGAACACAGTCTGGCATCACCTTCTGATCATGAATGAACAATATGACTTATCTGAAGGACCATCTCTTCCTGATTATGTTTATTTACATTTACCTGCCCCATTAAGTATGGCAGGAGACATATGTTGCAGGTCCCATGTACAAAAGTGTTCTATCTGGTAGGACCTAGGAGATGAGGCTTTTTGCTATAGCATCTGCCCTCTGGAACAACCAATTCTGTGGTGGCACAGTGGTTAGAATGCAGTATTGCAGGCTGACTCTGCCCACTGCCCAGAGTTTGATCCTGACAGGCTCAGTTTACTCAGACTTCCATCCTTCTGAGGTCTGTAAAATGAAGACCCACAGCCATGTTGAGCTTTCATTTCCCAAAATGCCACTGATGGCCTACATCTGAGGTCATACTTCAAGGTTTAATTCAGGATTGCAGTTTTATAATTCTTAAGTATGTTGCTCTGAAAACCATTTAAAAGTAGTTACCAATGTAACAAGTTGAGCATAAACAAAATAAGAAGCCTTGATGCACACATGAATACCTGACAGATTCACAGGAATGATCTGTATCTCAACCATTTTTTAAAAAGAAACACAACTCTTCCCCCCCCCCCCCCAAACCAATACAATTTATGTTGCATGGGATATTACATCTCTTTACAAAAGACTTACGGTTCAATATGAATAGTCTGTTCTCCTGGTCTTTGGGTCACAGAAACACTATTTCCATCAATACTATCTGCGAGAAAAATGATAATATAATTTTCCTTTTTGGCTTTGCACATTAACCCAGTTTCTGAAATCTGCCTTCTTTCTTTAGAGAAAACAACATTATATTTAAATAAAAGAATATTTCTCATCCTAATAATAGAATGAGTACCCATTTATATGCAGTTGACCTTTTGGCACCGTTTTGAAAGAAGTGTCATCAGGTGGTAAGAAAACTGCTCTAATTAAGGTATTTGTCAATCAAATGCTCTCCAAATATATTGAGTCAAGGCCTGGCTAGAGATTCTGTGACTTCTTCTCCATAACTAGAAGGGGTTGTAGTACAGAAGGTCATCCTGGGGAGCTAGTATCAGTCCAAAAAGACCAATGATATTAAAGAGACCACGTAAAACCTACTTATTATGTTTTAACTGTATCTTTACATATGCATTTCCTCTTATTTAGAAAACAATTACTAACAGGATCCTTGCATGATATACTACTTCATAAGACTATTTTATGTTACATTCCCAAGACAATTATTCAAGACTGCAAGCAATTTTTTTGTATCTGCGGTAATGAGATTTAAAAAAAAAAATGTTTCCATGTGGTGTAGTAATGCTGCCAAATTTGCTAGTTTCAAGGACATGTTTCTTTGTGTCAACTGATTCCAGTAAAAATGGAATGTCCACAGTCATAAAAAAATTAACTTAATGACCTACCCTTGCATTTGTGACCTTCACAGGTCTGTAAAGCAAAGCAAAGCTGAAGTAATATTATAAGTAGGCTCACAGTTTTACTGAGCAACCACTTTGCTTAATGACTGAATTGTGGTAACTGAACAAGGACTGCTGTAACTGGAATTTCTGAACCACATTTTAGAGGTAAAGGGAGTAGCCCAAATCAGCATACATGGATTTTCTGCATTTTTTTTTGTGAACCCATTCTGAAACAAAGTAATTATATTTAGATGTGCAGGAACACTATAAGAAGTACAAAGCAGAATCGATTTAAGTCAACATTATTATCATTCACAAGTGAATGAAACTATTAGTTCTTAAGTGAGCAACATCTATACTACACTACAACACACTTACTAGATTGACAGAGGAGAATCCGGGGGGTGGGTGTCAGTGGAGTAAGGGGCAGCTGGGGATGAGATGTACCATGAGAAGATATGATGACACTGCTGAAGAGACCAGATCCTTGCCGTATGGGGCTAAGCATGGGAGGTGGTGTATAAGGTGGGGGATTATGAGTCCTGTCAATCAGATGGTCTCCTAAGACACGGGGAGAACGAAGTTGGCTTTGGTATAGAGTAGCTCCTGAGTGAGATGCACTGAGATTGAAGGAGGGAGGTGGTATGAAGAGTGGTTCGGGTCTGTGGCGGTATTTTTTCTTGTCTTGAAAAGATTTGATATTTTCTTCAGAGTTGGTGATGCTTTGGTGATGCTTTCTATTGGGATCCTGAAAATAGAAAAGTTGTTGTTTTAATAGCGAGTGTATTCAATCATAGCCCAATACAATTTTTCAGTGAAACATCAAAACAATGAATTTTCCAAGATACAACTTACAGGTGCTGCATTCTGACTTCAACAGAGCAATACATCTACTCTTGTTTTACTATTAGGAATCAAGCTTAAAGAGGAATTCCCAAATTACTGCCAGCATTTTAAGATCCAATGGAGAGGACATTTTTATGCCAGAATTGTAGTGAAGACCAGTGACAGGAACAAAGAGCTTCAAGATTGACAGATCTTCATGATGAAATTTCCTGACTCAGAAGACTAGGTTGCCTAACTTTTAAATACCCTTCCTTAAGTTGCTATTTACTAAGGAAGGCATTTATAGGAATGTAGCATTTATTTATTTTCACTGCTTCATTTTAATCCCTGCCCCTCTTTTTAATCTTCTGAATCTACCATGAAAACCCTTAATAATTTTGCATTAGGAATCTACATCCCTACTTAGCTATGGAGCACTCTGGAGATGTAAAGTAATCTCTTTCTCTCAGATCAAACTAGCACATAGATTACAAAGATAAAATAAGGAGTGACCCCTTAACTTAGCAGAAGGCAGGATTCAACAATAATAAATAATTAAAATGTAATAACATTCTTCCCATCTTGTCCTAATAACTTTGTTCATGATATATCAAGGAAGGGATTTTTCAACTGGTGAGACATGTTCACCAAATTCAACTTAGCGTGGACTGTGGTAAACCAGAGACCTTTCTGCTGACCTGGGATCCACTCTTTGAGTACATCAGCACAGCCTGAAAAATATAAAACTATTATTAAACTTGTACAGCTTCATCTGCTGGTTTAGTTTTGTAATAAAATTTCATTATTAAAAGTAGTCAGGCGTTTCTTACTGATGCATGACTTCCTGTATTTACATTTATGTCACTTTTTAAAAATAAGTGCTGTAGAGTTTGCTTCCTGTTTAATGTTGTTGATAGACTGAACATATTATTTTTACTATTGCTCATATTTTGCCCATTTTTTTAGTTGTTGTGAAACTGGATTTCCCAAAACTCTCTGCATATAAAAAGTAAAACAACAAATTAACAGGGTGATTGGACCAAGGCACCATTTAATTTTCAAGAAAATCTGTTAAAAAGTTGTCCTACACTTTTAAAAGCAGTTGAATTAGGAAGTCAGACATTGGCCAAATGGAATCTAATACTGTGAAGTTTCTCCTTCTCAGATCATTTTCCACAGCTGTCCTTTCCTGGAGTGCATGCACAATTTTCTTAGGAAAGTAACGCAAAAGGACCTCCCTCTTACAGATTTCTTTCTAAACTACTGTGTGAAGCTGCTGTTCAATTAAATAACAAAAAAAGGAGAGAACCAATGCACTGCAGTTCTGTTAAACACTCTCCAGGTTTAACGCTCTAGGACAGGGGTCTCCAACCTTGGGTTAGGGTTAGGATTAGGCTTACAGTTGCTGGGTGGGGAATTCTGGGAGTTGAAGTCCACCAAGCTTTAAGTTGCAAGGTTGGAGACCCCTGCACTAGGAAGGGTAGAGATTTTAAAAGATCATCTGTTGTCTGCTCCTACTGTTTCAGACTGCACTTCCCCAAAAGTTGGTTATGTAGCATCAGTTTCCTGAAGAGGAATTATGAAAAAAAAAGAAGATAACAATGGCAGAGAAGTTCATGCATTATTATTTTTGCTTCTGTGAGATTACTTAACTGTTCCTCTGAATTCAATAAAACTATACTGCTTTTATAATTCTAGGACAAGCCTATACTTAAAGCAGGATAGAATGAATGACATAGTATCTGGATAAACTTGTGTGATATCAGAACCAAGCTATCAGAACTAAGTCCACGCACAAGACGGTCTTGACCAATAAAGACAAGCCCTTCATGGGCAATAATTATTAATATGAGTTTTCCATAATCTCTCAGAGAATCTAACATGAAAATTTAAACTGGCAGCTGACTGGCATGGGAGATCCAAGGCAGGGCTGCTTAAGTTTCACCAGCTTCAGTAGGTAGCAACTGCTGGACTTGCACGCTACATGACACAAATTTTACACTTAAGACAGCAGACAGTTATCACTGTAATTTATTGAAGAAAAAGTGATGCTTATCTGAGGAAAAGAAAGCATCAGTCTCAAGCCTTTTACAATGCTTATTCTCTGGAAACAATCTCTGGCATAATGCATGGGCACACAGGCACGCACACAGACACACAAGCAGACTATTTTCAAGACGAAAACAAACTGGCTCTCAGCCAGCTGCAACAGTAAAATAAGCCAGCACAAAGAACATTAAAGATAACAAATCCCTTTGTTGTTTTCTATTGTGTTTGCTGCTTTGAAAAAAAAATTGGGCCATTATAGAAGAATAATTAAACACTGGCTTTGAAATAACTGGTAAAATCCTCAAGCATTGATGTAACGCAAAGGGATTTATTAGGCTCCTATAGCACAGTTAGTGGCAAGAAGAAAACACTCACAGAAGAGGTACACAGGCTGATGGCGTTAGGGGAACGTGCTGGAGAACAGATCATCCTCACAAGGACAGGCATCTCATCATCTGAGACAGGCTTGTCTTTGACCAGGGCACAGCCATCTCTGGCTTGCTTGGTGGGCTCTGGCGACAGAACCTTTACAGGGACAGACACAGGCATGACGATAGGCGCCAAGCTATCCACTTCGGAGGGCAGCTGTTCCTGCTGGTGCTGCTGTGGCAGGTTCTCCCCATCCTCCTGTACAGACAATTATTAAAAGCTTTCACCCACAACTTCCAACGCCTGGTCATCACTAGACTATTCACAGGTAGCAGGAACATTGGGGAATTTTAGGGCATTTTAAAAGAACGATTATCAGGGATTTGTTTCCTGCTACCTTGGAATAAATGAATTAGCCTCAAGAATTGTTGCTGCAAAAGATTTTAACACGATTCCTCCGTTAGAAAACATATCCTCACTGGAAACCTGTGTTCAAAAGGAACATAGGAAAACTGGACAGAAAGAAACAAAAAAAACAACAACCCCCCAACCCATAGTTGTATTGAAAAGTTTCTTGTACTGTACAAATAATAAAAAGAATATTGAAGTATACTCAGTGAGGAACCCTGTTCAACTGGAGGTCAGCCAAAGCCTATGCCCAGATGTAGTTCTTTTCTTATATATAACATCAGCTAACACATCAACAACAATGGATAATTAATACACTTGAAAGCAAAGCTGGAAAAAGACATATTTTTGGACAATAGCAAGCTCCAGAGTAATTTTTTTGAAGAAAAAGCAGCACATTTTAGAAAAGGGGAAGATCAAACGTTCCAAAAGAAATACACAAGCATTGAATACCTGTCTGAAGATAGGAGATGCCCGTATTCCTCCATGAGACCTCATGTGACCATTTAGAGCAGGTAAACTTTTAAACTCTTTGAAACATACAGAGCACGTCATCAGTTTGCTCTTTGATTCGGATCTTTCAATGTATGTTTCTTTATCACAAACATTGCTGTTAACAAGAGACAGAGAAAGAAGGTGCTGTTTTAGAAAGAGTGCTCCTAAATATATTATAATTAATATACACAGAACAGTTCAGAGAGGAGGGGGACTTTGAAACCTCAGCATGATCGAATGGTTGAATCCAATAAAACACCAAAACAAAATATTCACAATTAATTCAGCCATCCCCTAATTCTTACAGTTCTTGCTATCACTTATTATACTAAAATAGTTGCTGGAGATATTTTCTGAAAGGGCTCAGTAACTATTAAGATAGAAGTTTCACTTCTGCAGAAATGTACTACTGCCTTTGCTGAAAAGTCAACAAAGCCAAAGTTAAGGTAAATGAATACACAAACAGGACTTAAATTCTGGTATAAACATCTACAGAATAGCAGGGTAAATATTCAGAGCAGTGATCTCAAAATGCAGCGAAGACACAACAAGGTTAAACTTTTATCCTTGGGAAGTAATTCTCACTAAGAGAGATACTGGAGTCATTATATACAGGGTCATATTGAAAATATAGGAACATTCTTCATGTGTGGTCCATGAGAAATTCCTCCATTGGTGGTCCACGAGAAAATTTTGGTGGACCGCAGAAAAATTATTTGTATTTTTTATATTGTACTAAATACTATTTATCTTTTTAAAAGATTCGTATTATTGGTCTGCGGGATTTAAATTATGAATGTAGTGGTCCCTGAGGTCCAAAAGGTTGGTGACCCCTGCATTAGATGACTTACCATTGCCCCATCTCTTAGTCATTAACACTTGCTGCAGATGTAAAAGCCTATGTAAGACCAATGAGTGGCAGATTTGATTGCCAGATGGAAGCCTCGATATATATTTTGATTGTGCAGTCATTTATTTCAACTTGTTGGCATCCATGACAAGTGGAATACTTGATGTCAGGGCTTATACTAGCAAAGTGTATTCATCTAAAGACTTTATGAGAAACTATTTAACCAAATGCATCTAAATGCAACTGAAATCTAACAAATAATGATTGAAAGCATGTAATTCAACAGATATTGAAAAAGCTTTAAGTTATATTTAAACACAGCTATCAGTTTACGTTCTTACGTTAATCTTAGTAAGAATCAGTATTTGGATATTGAAGACTGTAAGAACATGCCAGTGGGATGTTGACATTGTGATCAAGCTCAAAGCAGACAATATTCACACATGGCAATAATATTGTAGTGTTCAAATGTTGTAAACATGGATATTTAAAAAGGAAACAGAAAAAAAGTGTTGTAATAATTGCAATAATGTAGCAATCTCGGTTCTGTGCATGTAAAAGAAAATGGATGAAAACCATCATTTTAATTGCTTGTTTATATAAACAAAATATTTAAATTAATTTGTAATTTTTTGTGGACTGTTTTAAATTACTTGCTGTTCCCCAGCTTTAGTTTTCTTTTGAACAATAGGCAAGATTTAATTTCTTAAAACTGGTAACATTGATAAGCTAATTACTCAATGTCAAGAATAAAACAATTTTACTGATTACACTGATTATGTAATGAGAAAATAAGAAAACTGATAAGTAATTTGAAAAGTCATGACCATAATAAAGAAAGGGAAGTTTGTTTAATCAGATCCTTGAAGCAACTGTTAAGTCCTATTTAACAACAACAAAACAATAAAAATGTAAGGTCTAAATGCAAAAACATGCAAACAGTTATTTATAAAGGGGTTCATCAATTCACTTAATCTGAAACTTTATATTAGCAATGAACTTTTTCTGTAAGTCTTTGCTCTATGCAATGACTCAATTAAATTCCACACTGATGGTGCATAGTATTTATGGTAAGCTTTTTCCAATATGATTTTTTAATACATGAGCAACACAAATACGTTGTGCATCTGCATAAGTACAACTTGGGGTTTTCTCTTTAATTATCTTTCCTGGATAGGATAGACAGAAGTGCATCACAAAACACAATCCATTGAACTAGTTTGTCCACAAAAGGTAAATATACGAAAGCAGTTTATTTTGAGCAAAGGTGCTAAAATTGTTCTTTAGTAGAACAAACACACATCAATAGAAGATGTTTTGGGTCATGGTGTTCTAGCCAACAGTTATTAAGAGACAGAGGACATGTGTTCTTGCCAGCTAAAGAAATGACAATTGGCCATGCCACTTCTAACTAGCATCCTGTATTTCAGGTAGGCATATTTAAAAAAGAAACAGGGAAAAAACATCCATAGGTAAAACTATAATTTGGTTAATATAAAAAGAACACCACCACTTAAGAGGCAAATACCTGGCTAGGTATCAAGAAAACTTTTAAATCCTTTTTTTTAGGCACATCTCAACAAGTGACCACCCTAAGGAATGTACTGTTGATAGTGGCGAATATCTGTAGATTGGGTGTAAGATTAGGGTGGAGGTTTGTTCTCCAAGCTTATGGCTTGGTTTCCAAACATTTTGTTACCAGGCTAGGCAACATCTTCAGCAGAATTTAGGGATGTCAACATCGGTGTTCTTCTGCTTGTGCGTGCTTCGTGTGGTCAGTGTGATGAAGAGGTTACGTTAGAAGGGAAATTCCTGACATGAACCTCACCTGAAATGACCTCCCCATCCCAAGACTCACTGACCACACAAAACCCTTATAATAAGCAGAAGAACACTGACATCCCTTGAACTCCATTGAAGATGTTACCTAGCCTGGTAATGAAATGTTCAGAAACCAACCCACAAACTTGGAGAATGAACTTCCACCACCCTCATACACCATTGAATTAGGGAAAGCTGGGGCATCACTTTGTGAAAAACTGTTCAGTTCAATTGAGGGGAAAGACAAAATAGCCTTCTGTAGAAACACTGTATGCACCAAACCCTTGTGTTAGCAATTCTAAAAGAAAAATTATGTAAGATCCGAAAAAATGTACAGGTGTAAACATAAGAGTTCCTGTGGCCCAAATGCAAATTCTACATACAACATCTTGGTACTGGGCATATTGCTGTTGAATTTCAGGATGGTGTGGTTTCCCCCATCTCCCCCAAATAACTATGGGAAAAAGAGACTTCTAGAAAACAAACCATTCCTCTCAAATAGTCTAAACCACATTAGTTCTACTTTCAAAAAAAAACATTCAAGAAAAACAAAACTGTAGCCTGGCTTAAATTGGATCACCATTTCCAGTGATGCCCCAGCATCATCAGAAGACCACAGATGGTCATGCTGGAGGCCCCTGGCTTTTCAAAGTTTGTCACACTTATCCATGATAAGAGTTCCTACAGTTGAAGGAAAAGGCTGAAGGCATAACTTCTGAATAGAAAGGGGAGGAAGAGTGGTCACAAGATGACTGGAGATAAATGGAATTTCCCTCCTGAATCTAAAATCACTTATAATCTTTAGATGGCTTCTATAAAAGCTTGCCAGATAGGCTTTGATGTAGAATACTTAAATGATTAGATATAGAACAAACTTGACTCATATCCTAAAAGTTAAGTTTTACATTTTTATATTTTAAGGTTCCATCATTGTTCATATGGTCTACCACAGATTGATATAACTGCCACCAAAATTATTGCTATATTTCAAAACAGTAGTCTAAACGATTGCTTACAAAATGGTTGATTATCTGTACACTATTTTGGATTTTTAGGCCACTATTTTGGATTTTTGGAAGACATCAGTAATTAATCACAACTATACCTTTGTTCAGGAGAAACTGACGGAAGTCTGCCATCGAGTAACTGGATCTGCTATTTTAAAAGATAGGAGAAATTTAAATAAACCAGTAAGTTGTTTAATTATAGTCTGCACTACTTTTCCTAATCTAGGCAGCCTTCAAATGTACACATGCATACCTTGATCAATAGACAAAGCTCTAGTGATAGGAAATTGGTTACAGTCAAGTGAATGAGTTCCTTTTTTATGTCCTTTGTTGTTTTTCATGGAACCTCATCAAAACACAGTTTGAAAAAACCTGGTCTAAAATATTGGGATGACTGGGGAAGGCATTAAAGGTATCACTCTGCTACCCTGCATAGTTCAGATCTGAACAGGAAGCAATATTGAACTCTTGGAGAAGAAACAGAAAGGCCTTCTGTTTTTTTGTTTCTTAGCCAAATGGATGGTGAGACCTTATCCAACAGACTCTGTGCATTGGGGATCCTCTAAGAATGCCCAATGCACAGAGTCGTTTTAAATTTTCCAACAGAATCTCTACATTTATACAGATTCCCACCAGAAAACACTTTTTAATCATATCTAGAAGCATCTAACTTAGTTTCATTGGCTCATCATAAATGCTAAATATTACTGATTCACAAAATGGCTCTGCCAATAGAAGCATCTGTTTGTCTCCATTCAAAGAACATAAATTTCAATGCCATAAAAGGCTTCTTCTATTTCACTGGACATCTATCATTGATAAAATGCAAAGACTGAAACCCTAGGTCGAAGGCACCTATCCCAAAGCTTCCAAAAACTGCTATTGAATTATCATTTTTAATGCAACAAAGGGGAAAATATTAATTTTTTCCAACATATTTTTACATTTAATTTCAATGGGAGTGATACTGAATGTCCTGGCTCCACTTACTTTTCTGGGTCAGCATACTACTGAAATCCAAATATGCATTTTACAAAAAATCATGCCTGCCTGCTCAATGTTATAAGACAATACAGCTTTTTTCTAAACTTAGTTATCAGAAAGTAAGATATAAAGTTCTATATACCTGTGGCCACACTGCACTGGGAGACAACTGCTGGGGTCTTTTGTTACTCATCTGAACACTTGTTGAAGGTCTAAGAGATTGTTGGGAGATTGTGCTGTCCACAGAATCCAGGCCCTGTGGTGCTGGATCTTCAGTCCCCTCTGCCATAGGGAGTCCCAGGTGCTCATCCATCAATGCCGGAGTGTTACCATCACTCTGATAATGATCGGGCTGACTGGCATCAGCAGATGGCTGTTGCTGCTGCAGAACACTTTGTGGATACAAATGTTTGAAGGGCTGCTGCTGATCTTGATAGAAATACGGAGGGACTGCTCCTAGCTGTATAAGCTGCATGGAATTACCTCGATCTTGGGAGTATTGCTGAGGTTCGTGCAGAGACTTCTGGTTAGTATCCCTGTGATAGGGAGGAAGCTGTGTTTGTATCTGCTGCTGTTGCTGCTGCTGTTGTAATTGTTGCATCATAGGTTGTATTGGATAATACTGAGCTGTTTGCATGGGGCACTGTCTCTGTTGCTGCTGCTGAGGCTGCATCTCATGTACCAAGAGCCTGTGCTGTCCTTGATGGGGTTGCTGCTGCTGCAGATAGTATTGATCTTGCTGTAGCTGCGGTGGCAGCAAATGTTGAGAATGCATTTGCTGCAAGTGGGCCTGTCCCTGGTGCATGGCAGAGTGCATTGGGATGTGAGCAACATGCTGCTGGTTGTCATAATAAAGAGAGGACTGGTGTTGCATTAACTGCATCTGCTGCTTTTGCTGTGCACTTCCAAATCCGGGATGGACTTGCTGTGGCATCTGCTGGTATCTAGGCACAAGTTGTTGTTCCACAGGTTTCTGAGATAGCAATTGTCGAAGTGCACTATCGCCGGCATTCTCCATCACTGGAGGCTGCGCCTGAATGTGCTGAGAAACATTGTTCACTTGGATTCTTAAGTTTTGGCTAGCAAACACCTGGGCAAAAGAGTCTAATTTATGCAAAACTCCACTGGTAATTTTTTGTGATCTGAGGTCATTGCTTTGGGAACAAAGATGGTCAAAGCCATCAACCGGTTCGCTTTGAGCCATTGGGTTCCACATGACATGCTGACTGTTTCTTATGGGGAGGTGGTTTCCAGATGCCAAATGGGCCCAGTCTGCTTGCCTGGGAGAATCCATTAGCCCAAGGCCTTTGGGCCCAACATTCAAAGAGATGTTTTCCCTGGCATCATGAGGGAATGAAGGAGAGAGGGGAGACTCTGGAGACGTGTGCATGGCTGAAGATCCATAGTTGTGGTTTGCAGATGCCAGAGGACTCAAGTGCTGCTGCTGGTAATATACATTTTCACTATTGTTAACTATATGGTTTGTTTTATACGTCTGCTGATCCCCCATTTTCAGCACTTTTTCTCTCAGCAAGAACCATTTAAAATACAATCAAACAGTGTAGTCCTGAGAGAACTTAAAAATAAAACATGGCAAACCTATTTTATTCTTTTGACCACTTGTTCTAGAGAACTGAATTTTTTTATGGATGGTGAATTCCACTTCAGCCTGAAAAAAAGCCTTTACTGAAACCAAGATATTTGTTGTGCTTTTGTCACCTGTAAAGGAAAAAGAAAGGAAACATAACTACGGCAGTCCTATATCCCTTCGAACACAACTGTTCAAAACTTTACCCCTATTTGGGAGAGCTGGGTTGTAGTGTCCAGTGAAAGGAGGTTTGTCACATGGTTGTTGGGGATAAAGATCCTGGCAGATGAGGATTTTTTTTTCTTACAAGGATGAAAGTAACTTGTTTTATGTGTTTTTTAAGCCCTAAATATCAATTTCACAGTGTTCCCTTCTGAAAAATCTCAACAACAAATCTCATTTGGCGCTTAGTAGTTTGCCAATTTCTAGGTGCTCTGATGACATAAAAGAGAAACCAGGGGTTATGTAAAATCTATAGACCATGGGTGTCAAATTCAGAGCATCATGTGATGTTTCATGACATTTTTTGCCTTTATGGAGCTGGGGTGGATGTGGCCTGTGCATGATGTATCCGGCCCAGGGGTTGCCATTTGAAACCCCTGCTATAGACTATGTTGCCCGCCCATTCAAAAGAATAAATTCATAGTTTACTATGTTCCTAGGTATATATCTGTTTCTGGAAGTTTAAATAGCTTTAACAGCATGCAGCTTATGCTTGGTTATTCAACAATCATAGCCCCAAATCAGACTTCTTTATAAATCCCTAGAAGTCAAGGCCCAAAATCTTGAGGGCAAACTTCAAGAAACAGTGGATCAATTTCCTATTGATTGGGGAAGGGGAGGGGAGAGAACAAAGAAGAAAACAGTGCACCAGCCTTCTTTGAGAAATGACGTGCCTCCTACCACCAAATGGGAAAAAATGCTGTTTCAGCCACTGCAGTCCTTACTTGTTCAATACATATGCACACCATATTTACCCACACTGAGCTGACCTGTGATTAAACCTGGCTATATTGGCTATCTATTTAGTAACACATTTCAAAGTGTTAGTGTTACACTGCTTTGGATCCAAATTCCCAACAGAAGTCTCTGTATATGTACAGCATTTTGAGAAGCATTCCTGCCTCTGTTCTGAAATAGCCACATATAAAGAACACGTTCATGTATAGAAACAGAACCTTATGGGATGTTCTACCAGAGGATAGGCTGACACTTTGTGGTTATGCAGGGCTAGGCAAAGACACATAGAGATACACAATATTTACACATCATTCTAAAGAGCTAAGGATATGCAAGCTAAGGGAAAAATCAAAAGAGGAAAACAAATCTTCTCCAGCAGCCGACACTCAGATAAAAAGGGATTAATATGAGATAAACAATCAAACAGGAAACAATAATCAAGGAAAAACCAAGGAGAAAAATCATACACCCATCAACATTAGGAAGCCAAGATATTATATATAAACAGGGAACAAACTCCACATCCACTAGCACTGATGATGTTACTTAGTGTGGTAATGAAATGTCTGCAAGCAAACAACGAAGCTCAGAGAGCACCAAGAACTTCAAAGACCGTTTCATTTTGCAGGTGTTCAACAGGTTGACATAATTTATTGTTTTGAACTACTGATATTTTATACTGCTCTTTATACAGTACATTAATGTTTTTATTATTAAATATTTAGTGTTCTTTTGCTGATTGGTCTAAAAGGTATATATAAAAACGATAAGCCACTTCATAGGATTAATATATCCGACCTAAGTGGCACCCTAGAGGGATGAATGGTTCAATACTAATGCACAGTTCAGCTTGCCAAAGACAATAGTAAATAAAAGAAAGACTGTTCATCCAACAGAATGTTCTCTTACAGTACCTTTGATGAAAAACTTTCTTACTCCTCTATAGCAGAGGTCTCCAAACTTGGCAACTTTAAGACTTGTGGACTTCAACTCCCAGAATTCCTCAACCAGCTATGGGTTCTGGGAGTTGAAGTCCATAAGTCTTAAAGTTGCCAAGTTCAAAGACCCCTGCTCTATAGTTTTGCATGAGTACCTCAACATTTAGCTTTCAAAATCAGGAATGCTGAAGAGGTCATCCTCCTAATTCCCTACAATCACAACCTCTTTTCACAGGAAATCTTCAATTAGGTAACTTTAGACCATGTTCCTAATTAATTACTCCATCAAAACGAAGTCATCTTCCATGCTGCACACCATATACAGCTGACCCTCTATTGCAAGTATCCCTGCCTCTCCCAACCCATTTTCACCCAAAATGCAGGAGACACAAAGGTCCAAACCTGACTGTCACCTAGGTAACAATTCATGCTCCCCTCCCTGCCCCATATCCCAACTTGCTAACATCTTCAGACTCTGGTGTGGGAATGGGGATGGAGAGCTTCTTTCAGGAAATCAGAGCAAATATATTCTAATGGTCACACTGTCCCAGGTCACAATCCAGAAACTGGATAACAGGTTCCGCTACATTTGCCTCTAAAGCAGCGAGTCAGAACAAAAACTCTGCCCTAACAATGTCACACAGGAATGAATCCAAACTAAAGCAAGGCTTAATCCACCTTCCTGGACCTCCTACAATATATATGCCATACCTTCCTGAGAGAACCAGTCTGCTTCATCTGCTGCTGAGTTCAGGTGAATTCTGGTGTATCTGGTAAAAAGGCTAACAATAATACAAAACTAATCCAGATCCAGGGATCATTAAATGCGGAGGAAGTATAATTATGATTCCCAGGTATTGATTAAATCCAATATTCAGGTTACATATTCAGGAAAGCCAAATGAGATTTTTAAAAGTGATTTAAAATGAGAAGTATTGGTGTCACCTCTACTCAACAGGGGAGTGGACCAGTGTCAGCTTTCTGATGCCCTATTTCAATTGCTAGATGTTAGGTTGCACCTGTCCTCAACCCATTATCCACAGCTGATTGGATGAAAAAAATGCCACCATGAGAATTTTTTTCATTTCTTTGTTAACCGCAAGGCTGGATCTCTATCTTTGCAGAGTTTGCTTATAACAACTGTGTCGATACCCTAGCTTAGCTTTGTCAGCCCTATTAGGTAGACCAGACCAAGAAATCAACTCCACAGGGTATCTACACATATTTTTCTTGAGATTGATTACTATAATAGAATCCTTCGAGTCTGATTTTGCTGTGCAGTGTCTTCTTCTCCTTCTTGTAATTCTGTGAATTAGGGAGGTGACTGAGCTGCTTTCAAATGTTATCTGGACATTCTGCACTTAAAAAGTGTTTCAGCTTTTGTTGCCCTCGCAATAGGTGAAAGTTTGTCAAAGCCGTCTTCTTTATTCTTTGCAACTGCCGCCCTTTAAAACTAACTCATTCCATTCATCCATCCATCCAATTTGTATGTCACCTGTCTCCCAACATCTCTTACCATTCTTGCCTTGGCCCATCATAGAGGCCTCCTTCAGAACAGTTAGTCCCCTATATGCTCTGCTGCTTATCACTTCAGGAAAGGTTCCCCCATCGTTGTCAGACAACACACTGACTTGGTGGCTTTTGGCCCTTTAATAAAAAAAAATGAACAAATTGTAGATAGTGTGGAAACTAAAGAATGCCAATTACCAACTGCCAACTCAGTACCAAGTCCAAAAACTGCAAAGCAAGATCTACAAAGTTGTAAGAAAAAACAGGAAGACTGTGAGTAAAAAAAATGGATCATGCTCTCATTTTGAAGCTATCTAAGCAACTTCATTCTAGTCAGTGATGGTGGTTTAACCCTGTCTGAGTCATTTTTGCAGAGTCTGACAATTCAAAAATCAAGAAAGATCAAAGGACCTAGAAATGCTTGGCTTTGAGGAGATTTCGGTGGCCATGACAGTACTGTTCAAATATTTGAAAGAATATCACCACAGAACAAGGTCAAGGTCTGTTTTCCATCATTTCAGGATAAAGGATGTTGATTAATAACATTTAACTTAAAAAGCAGCAGATTCCAATTTGAATGTTACAAAAAAACAAAACTAGCACAAGAGCAGCTGTTCCTTGACAGATGAGATCTGTTGTCTCTCATTGCTACAGCCCGTCTGCAGCCAATTGTCCCCTGCCTTTGCGAAGGCAGGTGGCTCCCTATCTCGTTGACCACTTCCCCCAATGATGGAGGGGCCTCAGACAGCATCAAGTTCAGCCCCTGGATTCTCCAGTTGTTCCAGGGGAGATGTGCCATGCCTGTCAGATTGCCCTGGTTCCATCTCCTTGTCCTCCTCCGAATTGGGATTTGACAGAGCCATGAGAGGTTCTTGTGAGGCTGCAGCCTCACCCCTCTTGATAGACTGTACCAGGCAGTGGCTACTTAGGTCAGCAAGTGGAATGAAACAACGCTGGGAGCAAGGCATCTGTTTCCTTGCCTTGCATTCATCAACCTCTGTGCCTTGCAGTGAATCTTCTTTCCTGACTATATGCTCATGCTTTGACCTCTGGATTTCACAGATTTTGCCTGTGCCTCAAGGACTTGTTTTTGCCTTACAAAATGGCCTAGCTTTACCTGTCTTGTGGACTTGTCTTGTCCTTGTTTTGTCCACAAATATGTGGATTCATGTTGGGTTTGTTCCTGGACTGAACTGTGAACTCCTGGAAGGTTCTGTGGTTGTTGGTGTGTAGATTTCTGGAGAAGATTATTTGGGGCTTGGAAAGCCTCAAACTAAACCTTTACCCCACCTGTGACATGTGCATGTGTGAACAGGATCAGGCAGGGATGATGGATTCTCTTTCATTGGCTGTTTTCTACTGACGGTCTAGGTCACCACAGCCAATTCGCCATGAAACAATTTGCCACAGGACAATTCAATGTGGGATAACTCAAGAGCGGAATAACTGAATTGCAGCAGGCTTTGTCTTGCTTTATGTTTGAACCTTCTCAAGTCAGAAGTCCTTGAGGCTGGGGGGAGCTGTAATTTGTCTCTCTCTTGAGTTATCCCACCTTGAACTGTCAGCTGTGGTGAGTCGGCTCTGGTGAATTGTCCCATTCCATTCTAGTGAAGACTAGGCAGCCATTTGTCAGGGATTATTTAATTTGGATTCTTTCACTTAACAATGGATTGGCCTCAATGGCAAAAATGCCCCTTAAGAATCTAGGATTCCACCATTCTTCCTGCATACTAATATTTATTGTAAGCTGTGGTGCAAACAACATTGTTTTGTAGCCATACTGTTTTCCCAATAGATGCAACCTTGGTTGTAGGCTAAAGCGTGCACAATGTGTCTGTGTGCGTGGGTGAGAGAATGTAATGGCTCACTTGAGCCCAGACATACAGAGATAGAGAGGCAACAGTTCAGTGTACTTTGATTAAATCAAAAGGGAAAATCAAGATAGGAAGTCTTTTTACAAGAGTAAACTCACTAAAACTGATTAGAAAGATTAGGATTGGGTTTGTATATTAAATGGCCTGTAAAATTCACTAGATAATCTAGATTCAAGGGTTGGGAGGCAGGTGAGACAATTCCCTCAAAGAAGAAATGTTCATCTAATTCTGTCACAGATCCAAGATCTCATTTTGTAATATATTTATTATTTTATTTAAGACATAACTATATGCTGCCTAATTATCAAATTCTAGATCTGAGCTTTGTTGCAAGCTATCTGGAAGAAAATCAGCTTCTTATCCAAGGAGGAAAAAATACATGATTACATTATTGTGATCACTGCTAATATGTGAACAATCCTAAAACACAGTGTACAGTAGAATCGCCCTGTATTTTCAAGGAAACATGCATCATACTTGACTGAGAATCATAACACCTGAACAAAACTGGAAGGCAGATAGTTAGGGAAAGATAGAGTTGGACCCTCAGTCAAACTGCAAAACTGGCAGATGTAGACACCAATTAACAACACTGCATCTCCAAGACACTTCTGCAGCAAATATAATTTATACCATACCTTTATCATCTGGAGGAATGATTAATACACAGAGATTAAGTTTAGCGATAACATAAATACTCAAATTGTCTAATAAATAAAACCAGTTTGATGCAGAAAGTACATGAATTCTAATCCTTAGGCATGGAAATTGGCTGGATGACCTTGAGCCAGTCACTGTCTCTCAGCCCAACCTACCACACAGGGTTACTATTGTGGAGAAAATAGGAAGGAGCACTATGTTTACTGCCTCGAGCTGTACAGAAAGAAGGTAGCATATAAATAAATTCAAACATAATAAACATATAAAAAAATACATTCAAGCATAAATCTGGTGTCCCAAAAGTGTTTTTTTCGAGAGGCAATTGGACTTTGTTTTTCTTTGAAGACCTTTTGCTTCTCATCATTTGAGGGGCTGCCACAGAGAGGAAGGGGTCAATCTATTTTCTAAAGTGCCTGTAGGCCAGACAAGGAATAATGGATGGAAACTGAACAAGGAGAGATTTAACCTGGTAATAAGGAGAAACTTTCTGACAGTGAGAACAATCAACCAATGGAACAGCTTGCCCTCGGAAGTTGTGGGAGTGCCATCACTTGAGACCTTCAAGAAGAGATTGGACTGCCATTTTTCAGAAATGGTGTAGGGTATCCTGCTTGGGTGGGGGGGTTGAACTAGATGACCTATAAGGTCCCTTCCAGCTCTTGACTATTTGTATCATCCAAGAAGCTTTTTCTCATCTGAAGAAATTTCTTGGATGAGAAGCAAAACATCTTCAAAGAAAAACCAGAAAGTCCAATTACCTCTTGAAAAAGCACCTTTGGGGCAACCATGACTTGGACGACTGAGAATCTCCATAGACATAAATCTGGTGAAAAAGATACATATCAAAAGATTTCCTACATACTGGGAGAATGGGGGTCCCACCTACAATTTCCAAGAAAATGTTTTCTGTAGTCTTGGAACTTAGGCAGGAGAAGGTCTTCGCCAGTTTGCCAAAACATGGCCATTGACAGCATTCAGAACAGTTTCTGCTGCTAATCTTAGGAAGGACATTATGGGTTTGTAAGCAGAGAGATAATCCCTTAGATATTCAGGCCTTAAATATAATGCCTTGAATTGTTCTTGGTAAACAATTGGCAATCTACATAGAGCTTTCAGTATGACTTCTCCAGGCATCACATGATCTATAAACCCAGACCCAGTTAACACTCTGAATTGCAACATTTTGTAACAAGTTCGTCTTCAAGAGTCACCCCCGCCCCCCCGGATAGGTCTATACAGTATTGTAATAATCAGAATACGATGTTGCTAAGGGGTGGGATTCTACCAGTTCACACCTATTCGCTAGAACCGGTTAACATTCTAAGCAGTTCAAAGAACCGGTTGTTAGAAAAAATGACTGGCCTAATCCTGTAAGGAAGGCAGGAAGGAAACATTCTGGTGTTGCTTACAGAAACTGCCTCTCCGTTAACCCTTATTACATTTGTGGCAGGACTAGACTTCCTGTCTCAGGAACGTCCCTGGAGTTTTTTTCCCCTCCTTGGCTGGTACTTTGCTTGTGTGGAGTGACATTCAAAGTTACAATGGCACTGAAAAAAGTGACTTATGACCATTTTTCACACTTATGACTGTTAAAGCATCCCCACAGTCATGAGAGGCCAGGCGAGGAGATGTGTGCCTCGATGTGAGTGATATTGAGTTAGCCACGCCCAGCCAATAACATGACCACCAAGCCATGTCCACCCAGTCACATGACCACCAAGCCTCGCCCACCATCTAAGCCATGCTCACAGAAACAGTTGTTAAAAAATTTGAATCCCACCCCCGTGGATAATTATCACCAAATCTGACTAGATCAAGAAGAAACACAGCTAGCATACCAGAAGCTATGAAAGCACTCCTTTCTGTTGTTTGTGAATCCAGTGTCAGCTAACCAATCAACAGTTTTCCCATTCAGAATCTATAGGCTGTTCTTAAACTGATTTTAAAAACAGGCATCAAATAAATAAATAAATAAATAAATAAATAAATAAATAAATAAATAAATAATAATAATAATAATAAATGGAAGACCTTCAAACATGTATTTACCCAGGCCTTTCGCAAGGGAGAGTGAGACGCCTTGCTTTCAACATTCTTAGCATCGTGTATCTGTGTTTTTAATTGATTTTAATGCAATTTGTTTGATTGCTGTGAGCCACCCAGAGTTGTTGGGAGTTATTATAATAACAACATAATAATAGCAGAGAAAAGACTGGAGAAGATAAACAAAATACATAGACATGCAAATAGAAATTGAACAACTGTGGCAAAAGAAAGCAAAGGTAGCAACAATAGTGATAAATAAGCACCTTGGGTGCAATCCCAAAATATACGGAGCATCTCTTGAACACTACTTGTGACAAAATCACCATCACCAGTTGATTGCAAAAGGCAGTTTTACTCAGAGCAGCTTACATCCTGCGATGATATCTGTAACACCCCATCTGTCTACCCTAGGTCCTTGGGAAGGACTTGATAAGTGGTCAAAAGTGCCAAATTCAGTCTGAACACCTGGCTGACTATGCAATCAACCATAACAATAATAACAATTGTTGCCTAAAGAAAAATCAATGTAAGAAACTTGAAAACTTTTTATTAAAA